GCCATGGCATATTTCATGTTTTACCCTAATATCGGGTAGAGGAGGCTACAGGCTAATGTTGAGCTAAAAATGCTAATGGTCAGAGTTGGGGAGAAAACTTTGTGAACGTATTTAAATGTAGTTACAGAGTGCTGAATACCTGCTTTAAAATGTATTTTGTAGCGTATTTCGATACTTTGCTTAAGCCTGGTACTGTATTCTAAATATTTAGAATACGTAAAAACAGCATTTAAGTACGCATTGGTAGATACTCCTGCAGGAAAACAGAGGGCTGTATAATGAATGGGAAAAATAAATCAAACAATTCAATTATTTTAGTTATTTTATTTATCAAAATGTCAATAAATTTTATTTCTTTTTCTGTAATAAAGTGAGAATGTGCTTGAACATAGCACAGCATTACTGTCTGTAATATTGGAGCCAAAACAGCCCTGAACTTCTGGTGCCAGTCCAGTCACAGTGCTTCATCTGTTTGGTGGGCGGGATGTTGCATCTTTTTTGACAGTGTATGGCGGACTGACCCGTGGGTAGTGACTGACATCCAATGGAGTCCAGTCACAGCGCTCTGTCTGTTTGATGGGCCAATCACAGAGCTCTATTGGTTTGATGGGCTAATCACGAAAAGTGTTCTTTTCGTCATGAGCAGATAGAGGTACTTAAGTTTATTTAGATAAAGGGTGTAGTGATCTGTAGTTTGTATATTTATACACTGTAATTAGATCTAAATATTATAATCAGAAGTGGTTGTTTTTATCATCAGGGAGTTTACTTAAACACTCTGTATTGACTGAGAGACAAGAAAAGAGAGAGATGGGATCGTTTAAGAATCTTTAATTTCTATAATTATAAATTCTTACAATCTACCAGGACTATCTCAATGATGAATGCATATGGATTTGAATGTTATAGTGTTGGTGTGTGGGTGTGTGTTTTGTTCAGAATCTCTAGGCTGGCATAGCGAATCTGGTTGTTATGACTAGGCTACCACGAGGCTTCAGAAGCTGATGACATGAGCCGCCATTTTGCCGTAACCACATACCCTGTGGAGCCTCCCGTGTAGATCAGGAAATGCCAGGTCCTCGGACCTTCGGATGTACTGGAGCTGGTGGAACAGCGGTCGCAGCACTACAAAGCCCGTCTGTGGGTCAACTCCGGTAGCAGTGGCAGGCGTCAGCGAGTTCACTCTTATTTTGAAGGAACGTCGTCTTGTTGTTCAAACGACGGAAATCTCCAGCTTGACAGTTCTCAGCTTAAAGTAGAAAGTACATCTGGCCAGGCTGTACTTCTCTTTTGGCAGTGATGGATCGAGAGCTGGTTGAAAACTACGTTGAGAGTAAGATGTAACTCCTTTGGAGCTCAGATCGAACAGAGCTGAGGTTAAAATGGAACTGAGAATAAAATGGCGTTGCCTTGTTTTATATCCCCCAGTTGTTTATAAATCTTAGTAAACCGGATTGGACAACTTCATTAAACAACCCAGATTCTGCCCTACGACAGACAAAAGTTCTGATTGGTTGAGAACAATGTGTCATGCGTTTCCATGTCAATGTAGATCAGTCTGTCTGGTGCAGTCCTGTTTATTCATTAAACACATAACTCATGACATCTTTATTTCACAGATCATTCACCTGATTATTATTGATCAACATATAGTTTGATTAGCTTATCACAAATAAAGCACTTTGATTAATTAATGGAAAGCGTTCTTCTTCTCGTCTTCTGTCTCTTCTCCTGGAATGTAAACATACTGAAACCAGTATCCAACCTTGGCGATGTTACTGTGTGAAGGGGCAGCTGTTAATGGCAGACAATAGGATCTTAATAACGCTACAAGGGTGTATTTACATCTTCTTTGATGAAGAAGATGGCAGACTGCCCCCGTTTAATGACATCCGTAGTGGTTAGTGCGTCACAACGTTTGTTATTGTACAGCCTGCGGAGACAGTTTGAAAGACAACCCATATCCCAAACCAACGACTGAGAGCCGTCAATGGACGGCAACCAGACTATTGTGGTGACCCTGCCCACTGCAGAAGTGGCAGTGAGCAAGGTGCATTGTGGGTAACAGGTTTTCAGTTATTTTGTTCTATTTTGGTGTGGTTTGTAAGATATATTATTGCCAGGGTTAACATTGTTTTGCACCATGAGAAGGGGTTCAGTGGTCAAGAATGGGAATGTGGTGTCATTCGGCTGTATAATAAAGTAGAGCACTCTAATCTCTGGTTTCAGTGTTCTTGTTCTTGCTCTTGCTCATCGCGTTGGCATGGCAGTTGCCAGATTATATGTTTACATAAATAGGAGGGCTTGCCAGGCTAGAAAAGCACGCAAGTATTCCAATGGTATTACGAAAGTAAATGCATTCTAAATACCATGTTTAAGAATAGTAACTGTAATGGAAGACAGTTACTTAAAACTAATATTCTAAATATGTAACGGCGGACCTATTCTGTTACTGCTCCCCAACGCTGCTAACAGTAAATCAGAAGCAAATAGTCAACTCTAAAAATATTTCAAGCTTCTTTATCAATTGCCAGCAACTTGATATTACAGTGAAATGTGCATGAGGGGTAAATAATGAGTCAATTGTGGTGTTCAATGAGTCATTCAGAACTATAACAGCAAGCAAACAGCAACATGGCAAATAACTACACTTCATCTAATGGCACAGATATATTACTGTGTAGTAAGTGCTCCCTACTGTAAAACATCCAAAAGTGCTAGCATCAGAAATGATAATGTATTACTCACCACCTTACTGTGTATGACCCGTCTTTGATTCTCATTTAGAATCTTCTGGTCCATAACTGGCAACAGCCATGAAACTCAAGGAACAGCAGTGAGAAAGTAACTTTTGGTTTAGAAAAAAGTTCCCTGGCCATCCAAGAGACATAGTCTCTCCAGAGTGTTCTGGGTCTTCCCTTGGGTCTCCTCCCAGTTGGATGTGCCCAGAAAACTTCTCCAGGGAGGCGTCCAGGAGGCAACCTGACCAGATGCCCGAGCCACCTCAACTGGCTCCTCTCGATATGGAGGAGCAGCGGGTCTACTCCGAGTCCCTCCCGGAGGACCGAGCTTCTCACCTGATCTCTAAGGGAGAGTCCAGACACCCTGCGAAGCAAACAAATTTCAGTCTATCTTATTCTTCCGGTCACTACTCAAAGCTCATGACCATAGGTGAGGGTAGGAACGTAGATCGACCAGTAAATCAAGAGCTTTGCCTTCTGGCCCAGCTCTCTCTTCACCACGACAGCCCGTTACAACGCCCGCATCACTGCAGACACTGCACCAATCTGCCTATCGATTTCACGCTCCATTTTCCCCTCACTCGTGAACAAGACCCTGAGATACTTAAACTCCTCCACTTGAGGCAGGACCTCATTCCTGACCTGGAGAAGGCATTCTATGCTTTTCCGATTTAATCCTCGATGTTTAAATCTGAATGATAAATGGACTCCAAAGATCTTTACACTTCATTGTATCACTCACCCATTCACACACACACACATTCACACGCCGATAGTGATGAGCTTCATTGTAGCCACAGCTGCACTGGTATGCACTGTCCAAGGCACAACCAGTCCCTCTGATTACCACCAGCAGGTAAGGTGGGTTAACCTTCCCACTGTCTTTATAGGTGACCCCGTGAGGAAAGTTGACCATTGAGCAGGGTTGATGGTTTACCCCTTGGGTCCATGTGGCAGGGGTAAGGAGTGAGCACCATCTCACCCCTGCCACATGGACCTCAAGGGATAAACCATCAATCCTGCTCAATGGTCAACTTTCCTCGTGGGGTCACCCATAGACAGTGGGAGGGTTAAGTGTTTTGCCCAAGGACACAACAGCGACAGACAGGGTACACCCTGGACAGGTTGCCAGTCCATCGCAGGGCAATACAGAGACACACAGGACAAACAACCAAGCACACACACCTATCAACCTGACAGTCGTGTTTTTGGACTGTGGGAGGAAACTGGAGTACCCGGAGATAACCCACACGTGCACAAGGAGAACATGCAAATGCCTTGCAGAAAGATCCCAGACCGGGATTTGAATCCAGGACCTTCTTGATGCAAGGCAATAGCACTAACCACTGCACCACTGTTACATTTTTATGAATGTTATTATTTATACGTCATTATTGCCTGACATTATTACAAAAAATGGCAAACTGACGTTGTTCCTTGTCAAAAATCTGTGGATGGCAAAAATGTTGAAGATAAACAGAAACAATTCCCTCTTCACTCGAAACTCTCATTAACTGTATGTTACTCTTGCTAACTCACACACGCACGCACGCACGCACGCACGCACGCACGCACACACACACACACACACACACACACACACACACACACACACACACACACACACACACACACACACACACACCAGATGCTGTGAAGGATTTCTTGCCTTTTGTGTCAGGTGATAATTCTGAAAACAGCAGTGAGGGGTTAATGAGGGGTCAAAGAGTTCAGATAAGAAACAGCAGTTTTATGGCACCTGCCCCAACCTGCAGTGCACTGATATCCGTTTGAAGAGGCTGACCTTTGAACTCCACTGGTCCAAGTGATCAAGATCTAGATGATCTATGGGTCATTTAGATAGGTCAGATTGGAACAAGTGAAGGATTTGTATGCCATGATGAAATGTCAGAGAGGAACAGATAAATTGTTCTTAATGATTACAACCGTACTCTATTTGTTTCCAGAGCCATTAGATTGTTGTCAGCTATCAGGCTGTTTGAGATGGGGTACGTTTGATTATTTTCTAATTGGACAGATTAAACATGCAACTGATTGGAGACGACTGCATCTTTAGGAAAAGGAAACAAAAAGTAAAAATAAGTCAGAATCTCCTGTGAAAGCTTTGTACTATTTCCAAAACATGAAGGACAGGTGATAACTCAACACAAACTCACGTGGTAGTAACAGAGTGTCATCTCCAGTATGCAATTCAAACAAACCCTTAACCTTTTGTTTGTGCATCTTTCTCTCTTTCAGAAAAGTGACCATCACAGCTATCAGCCGTGGATCGGCGAGGAAGGACTGTGATTTACAGATAGCACCTTGTCTCTCCTGCTGGCACCCCGTCATTACACCGAGCTGAGCACTGGGAGATAGGTGCTGCGAACAAGAAAGGACCTCTTCTGTAAATGTCAACGCCAGTCAGAGCCTCAAATTTTCTCCATTAACTCTTTCCCCTGCAGTTCTCCATACTCTAAGCCAATAATTACATGACTTACTCCCTCCTATTACCAAATGTTTGGGGTCTAAGTGATGTTAGAACATCTGGACAACACACACTCAAAGGAAAATAAAGCTATTTGCCATTTAATTTATCTTTCACTGTCTTAATAGTCTTCTGCTGGCATGTTTTCTAAGAAGTCACTTTGTGTTCTGATTTGCAAAATTTGTCAAAATTCTGTATTAAAAGGTTTTATGGTATTAATGTGACTAGAAATAAGGCAGAATGCAAACAGTCAGCGCAGGTACGGGAAATTAATTTCATGCTTCATTCTGTGTTCCTGCTTTTGACCATGACCTGAAGTTAGTGTGTGGTTACGGTGTGAAATAGTAATTTCAGCTCAGATTCTACGGCAAAAAAATGTTTTCATTATGAAACCATAAAAAAACACAAGTGCTTATTATTTGAATATGCAGTTATGTTCTAATTAAATATTTATTTTGCATGAGTGTGTGCATGTGATGGAGATTTCTGTTTGGATTGAGGGATAAGACTTTGTGTGTATGTGTGTGTGTGTGTGTGTGTGCGTGCGCGGGGGTGGGGGTGGGGGGTGGGGTGGTGGGGGGTCTGTTGATGAGAAGCTTTTGCTGGTAAAAAAAAAACAACCTCTTGTGTCTTTTTATTTTACCTGAAAATTAAACATTGTGCTCTCCACCGTTTCCATGTTCGAATTGAGAACTACATTAACACCTTAAAGTGTAAAGTTGCAAAAATAAATAAGTTACAGAATTTAAAGCATGTATTAATTTTCAAGGCCTGTGTGCGCCCTCAATCATTTCACCATTGCCCCAAAGTAATTGATTTTGGGCAGAGAAAGGGAGAGGTGGCGGGGTGATCCACGTGTTGTGTGAAAAACATGAAGCTGGTAAATGAAAAAATAACTGACGCGGTAATTGCTGTGAGTGTTGTAACCTTGCTTTATTGATCTACGTTTTCATCAAGGAATTTGGCCGACATCAGAGTCGGGCACATGATAACATAAGTCGTTTCCTTCCTGTGTGTAAAAATTTATTTTTCTTCACATACTTTGTAGTTTCTCTTTAAGGAGTGCGCTCAGTGAGCAGACAAAGACAAAATAAACCCCGTAGAGGGAAGATAATGAGCTTCTCAGGTGACTACATGCAGTGATTACCAGGTTACTGGTGTTACATTGACACTGCATCACAAAAAGATGCACTTCCTCTTCTGCAAGACACACATTCTCACACACACACACACACACACACACACACACACACACTCACACACACACACACACACACACACACACACACACACACACACACACACACACACACACACACACACACACACACATGCACACACTCTTGAGAGATCCTTGGTTATCACACACTTCCAGATCGTTACTACTTATGGAAAATACATACACACACACATCTCAAGATGTGGCCACTCTTGCCAGTCTGAGCCCAGTGTTAAGAACAGTCGTTGTCGATGTGTGTTTTTTTTAGCATCTCTAAATTCCTAGCGTTGCTAAGGTGCTTTGGGAGGGGATTAACAGACGCTGGCGCAGATGAGCAAGCCTTGCAGATTTCCAACTAGCAGGAAAAAAGACAAAGAGAGGCGGGAAAGAAAGGAAAACAGCAGAGGGTTAGACAACAGGGAAATGGCAGGAACAGCTTGTGTAAACATGATGACTTAGGAGAGGTAAAGAGGTTAGGAACAAATCAGGGATGAGTAACAGAAAGTGAGAAGAGGTGCTCTAAAGAGGAGCCTAAACTTTCATGTGGGAAAATGCTTTTCTGCTTTTTCTCCTCTCTGTTTCTTCCCATCTCTTTAATTCCCCAAGGCCAACAGTTTCAGATCGAGACGCTTTTGTCTCCATTTTTTTCCCTCTGTCCCAACTTCAAACAGTGTCAGCATTCAGGTCACGCCGGCGTGCCTGGAGCATCGGTGAGTGCGCTGTCTCAGGTGAACGTCTCCCAGCACGTCCTTGATGACACTCTCTCCCTTTCTCCAGTCTCGATGCTTTTAGTTAGCGTGGCGAGGAGCAGGAGAGGCAGCTCAGACAGCTGAGCCGTGTTTACCAATTATCGACCCGTGTGTAGAGCCACGCTTTTAGCAGAAAACCTGGGTTTGTAGAAATAAACAGACCATAGATTTTTATCATTCTTTAGATACATTTAAAGAAAATTGAAAGTTATTTCACCATTATCCAATGAAGATAAGGGAGGGTGGTCTATATGCGTTTTTAATCCTCTCCTCAGGCTCAGTTTCTCAGGTAAAGTGTAACTGGATGCGGCCTGTTTGTGGAATACAAGGCACTTGACCAAGGGCCAGCACTGCTCCTCCTTCATCTCCCATCCCCTCCCTCCGCTATCCTTCCCCTACCTGGGTAAGGTTACCCCTCACTCCACCTTCCTCCTCCTCCTTTCCATTCCTTGAGTAGTGGCAGGTAATGTATTTTGCAGCATCTGAGGTTGAAGTTGAAAAGCGCGTGTCTGTACGTTTGCGCCCGGTCCAGACAGGTGTTTGTAACTCGGCAGCTGGGCTCCTGTAACTGGGCCCGTCTCGGCTGCGCTGGCTAATGTGACTGAGTTGGCTGAGGGTGCCGAGGCGGCTGTCTTTCAACCACTGATCCCTCAGAACTACTCATCTGATCAGCCTGGATCTGCGCTTCACGGCTGCCGGGGTCACACAGCCCAACCCCGCGGGGTCAAGCAACTAATTACAGATCCCTGTGTCCTCCGACTCTGTCACCGCTGGGAAAAACGGAGACGGTTGGATGAGAAGAATCCGTAGAGGGGGTTAAAGAGAAAGAATATCAACTTAGACATCTAAAGGTCACCGGTGAAGATAACCAAGCTGTGTTTCCTCCTCGTCTGGGAAAGAGGGAGAGTGAGCAGCGTTGTCTCACCCATCCCATCCCTCAGGCAAGAAACAGAAACCTTTAAAGGGAAAGCTGTGGGACTGGATGTGGTTTCTTCATGACTGTCTAATAAATGCAAACCTTTAGGAGTCACTGTAGCAGCGTAAAGGGAAAGTTCATCTCGTTGGAACTGCAGCTTATTGAAATAATTATGTTTTTGTTAGCAGAAAATCAATTTCCAAAGTGTCCCAGAGGTTCAGGTGAGGGTTTACTCTGCAGAAACGTGATGTAGCGCCTCCAACGAGCCACACTGCTCATAAATCAACACAAAGCTCAGCTATCCAGATTGAATAAAACTCCATTTCTCCAAATTTACACCACTCACAAAGCTATCTACAACAGGTAAGCTATTAATTGTTCCTAACCTTTCCACAAAAGATTAGCTGTAAAGCATTGCCTCCAAACTCCACCGTGAAACAAACTCTCCAGCATGATTTCTCCTGCTCTGACCTTTTTGCTGTCCCCGCTGACTGAGCTGTGGATTTGAAGGATGCTGCATGCTGGAAACTGAGAGAACACACATTCATGCACATATAAAAAATAAGGACCTTCCAAACCTGTATTATGTTATTTTAGGCTGCAGGTTCATTAATCACAAATGCGAGGGCTTCTCAGCCGACGGAAATTAATCAAAGAAGGGGACATTAATCACATGCATGAACAGCAGTAGTTATACCTGTGACAAAGCCATCTGATTTAAACGCATTGCTCCAGCCTGTGCTAATGATGCCACCCAGGGCCAGGCAAAGCAACCTCTCTGCCATCACTGAAACAATAATGCACTAACTATGAAGCAATTTTCTTACATGTGTGAAGGAGTATGCTGATGCACGTTGTACAGGTGTTGCAGCAATTACCAGGTGCAGCTTTTTTTTCTCACAGCTTGACCACTGGCTTTATCGCTAACTGTTGAAATGTCTGTGGAAATTAGCCATGCGTAGTACTTTCGAACCGTTTTGCCCCTGACCAGTAGATTATTGATTTGAAAAAAAAAATAATAATAATGAATAAAGAAGCTAAATAACAAGATGCCACTGGAGAGATTTGATTTGCTAAGTTGAAACACAATGCATGTACATTTGTTGTATGAAACTGTAGCATTATTTGTGTGGAATATGAAAGAAAAAAAGGGAAAAGCATCACCTGCAAGTGTGGTTACACTGCCCTCTTTTGAATGCACTGTGGAGTTTCTCAGCCTGCTGAAGTTGAAAATGTAGAAAATTTCTCTAATGAACCCAAAATGATGCCTCACAAGATCAATCGCCACATATAAGTTAGATTTAAATTGTGAAGGGCTGTTTGAGTTTCTTGCCTCAGTGGCTTTTCTCTGAATGGACAGTTTTGTTCTACTCAGAATAAAACAGGAAGACTCCTGGGGAAAGGAATATGATCCTGTGACTTTGATCGCAGCTCCTTTTTGCTGCCAAACAAACTGAAATGACTCCATAATAAGTTGTTTTTTTAAGGAAGTGTTGATTTATAATCTGTTGAGCTGCACACAAAAACTCATCAGTTATTACAAGCAAATGTTGTAAAAGACACACTCACACAAACACACAAACATACACACACACATGCACGCACCAGTGCACACACTCACACACATGCACACACGTATATAAATTTAAGTAACATTTATTTATGTAGCACTTATCACAGAAAGAGAAATCACAAAGTGCTTCACAAAGATCAACAAAACAAATAATAAAATCAATAATTGATTGTAAAGTCAAAACAAGAAAAAAATCAGAAAACAAATTAAAGATAATTAAAATCTGAAAATGTCATTATACAGATAAAGAAAACATTAAAGGTTTAGGTAAAAGCAGCTTTAAATAAAAGGGTCTTCAGCTGTTTTTTAACGGTGACCAGACTGTCAATATACATGAGGATAAATAAATACATGTGGGCGACGGTGGCACAGGAGTTATGTGTTTGCCCCGTAATCGGAAGGTTGCAGGTTCGAGCCCCGCTCAGTCTGTCGCTGTCGTTGTGTCCTTAGGCAAGACACTTAACCCACCTTGCCTGCTGGTGATGGTCGGAGGGACCGGTGGCACCATTGCTCAGCAGCCGCGCCTCTGTCATTGAGCCCCAGGGCAGCTGTGGCTTCATTGTAGCTCATCCCCACCAGTGTGTGAATGTGTGTGTGTATGGGTGAATGATTGATTGTGTTGTAAAGCGCCTTGGGGGGTTCCAGGACTCTAGAAGGCGTTATATCAAATAGAGGCCATTTACCATTTACCATAAAGGAAGTTAAGTCAGGGTGCAACAGCCTGGGACTTCTAGAAGGTTCTGGGTGGTGGACCCGAGGGCTCGGGTTGGAGCGAACAGAAGAGCACGGATCACTCCTATTCTAATGTCTCTGCACTAGTTACCCGTTAACTTTAGAGTTAATTTTAGCATCCTGACTATAACTTTCAGGGCTCTACATGGTCAAGCTCCTCCCTATATTACTAAACTGAGAGACCATCAAAAGGCTCAGGAACCCTTTGCAGGTGTTTTGGATTCATTAGCAGATTAGAATGTGACACTTTGAGTGTAGAATGTTGAACCTTTTCACAATTTTCTAACTGAGAATTTAACTTTGGTGTTTTCATAAGCTGTAAGCCATAATCATCACAGTTATAAAAATTAAAGGTTTGAAAT